CGCACACGCACACACCTCTGCACACACACACACACACACACACGCGCACACATTCCATCATTTAGTGAAATAATGGCTGTTGAGTAAAAACTGTTTAATGCCACACTGTGAAACATTCCAGGCGAAGCAATAACTTCTCCTTCAAGAAAAGAGTCTGACAGACCCACCACCAGAAATGTTACACAATGCATCTTTAATGCCAGAAAAAAAAAAACGCAGACAAAAAACATAGACAAGCAGCTGCCAGAAAAGTTATACAATCCCCGTCATTCCACTGCACCTGCCTCTCTTTAAACACACGGCCTCGACTTGTTTTCAGTGTATTTGAGGGAAAACCACAGAAACCCAAGAAGTTTAGCTGGAAGGAAAAGCCCAAAAGTTCAAATGTATTTTGAAACTGGCCTTCCTGCTGCAACTCATGCTGTAGTTTTCAATTCCAGTGCAATTCCAGAGCTGAAATGATCCAAATGATTCTAGTGAAGGTGTATGGATTTTAAAAACACAGTGGAGCACTTCCTGTATGACCACATGACATCACAAATGTGCAGGTTTGTGTGTTAAACGTGTGAATGAAACAAAACACAACTCCAGATCTGTTTGTGATGAGGAAACATTAGAACTGATCAAATGATTATGACTCAGGGTTTTCATATGATTCTGAAGCACATGACCACAGTCCAGTCATGTGACCTGTGTGTCATGTGACCTGTGTCTCTCGTGACTACTGTGGCTCATCTGTGTTGAAGTACAAAGAAGCAGATGTGGTGTCACTGTGCTGACCTCACAGTCACAGTGTGGACAATAGTTTTATTGTGAGCAGGTTTAAGAGCAGCTCACCACATCTGAGACGGACACCTACTCCTGACCTCTATACATACTAACAGGAGGCACTGCTCTGTCTGGGGCTCTGCTGCTCACTACTACTACTGATACTAATACTGATACTGATACTGATACTAATACTAATACTAATACTACTACTGATACTAATACTGATATTAATACTGATACTGATATTAATACTGATACTGATACTAATACTAATACTACTAATAATACTGATACTAATACTAATACTAATACTGATACTAATACTAATACTAATACTGATACTAATACTGATACTAATACTACTCTACTACTACCACTACTACTAATACTGATATTAATATTAATACTGATACTAATACTGATACTAATACTACTCTACTACTACCACTACTACTAATACTGATACTAATACTAATACTGATATTAATACTACTAATAATACTAATACTAATACTGATACTAATACTAATACTAATACTAATACTGATACTGATACTACTACTACTACTACTACTACTAATACTAATACTGATACTAATACTAATACTGATACTGATAATAATACTGATACTAATACTGATACTAATACTGATACTAATACTACTAATAATACTAATACTGATACTAATACTACTAATACTACTCTACTACTACTACTACTACTACTACTACTACTACTACTACTAATAATAATAATAATAATAATAATAATAATAATAATAATAATAATACATTTTTATTTTATTTATTTTTATTGAACATTTAAAATCCTGTCAGTGCATTTATTGTCATCTCTTTTAAACAAAAGACACAAACGTTCACAAATAATCAGAACAGCCTCATGAGAACTGAACAGAACACTGGAGTTGAGTGAAAGAGATACTAACATTCCATGACTTTTTCAAAGCTTTCATTGAATTTACAAAATTCCATGACTTTTCCAGGCCTCAAAAATGACATTTTCAATTTTCATGACTTTTCCAGGATTTCCATGACCGTGGGAACCATGCACACAGAAAGCACAAAAACAGAGAATGATGTAAACAATCCAATGAATTATAATAAGTAAATAAAAAGAAACAGAATAAAAACACATAATGATTAAAATCAAGTTCAAACCAGTTAAATGAAGGCCAGCTGATAAAAATGGGAGTCTGGTGTGAGTCTTTTCTCCTCAGGCAGGTCGTTCTAAAGCCGAGGCCCCGGACTGAAGTCTCCATCACCTTCATCCAGAGTCTGGACTTTGGAGCCACAGGGACCTGCCTGAAGATCTGTGGCTCAGATGGGAGTCAAAGTTCTGAAATGAAACTTTTCAGTTGGGCGTCTGTCACCTGCTTCTTTCTATGGAGATGTCATTGCTCTGCCTGGAATGTTCCACAGTGTGACATTAAACAGTTCTATTTTACATTTATTCAATTACAGGTGGTTTTATGTCTCAAAAATTCCTAGAACAGACATTGTGACTGTGAGCGGGGTCGCCTCTCCACAGATCTGATCTGTAACTTGGTCTGGTTTGGTCTCCATGAAGATAGAAAGGTTTAATGCCATACTATGAAACATTTCAGACAAAGCAATAACATCTCCATGAAGAAAAGCGTTTGATGAATCCTCCAGCAGAAAAGTTACATAATGCATCTTTAATCTGAGTTTTATTTGACACAATGTGACCAGAAAGAACTGAGTGAGCTGGAAACACGACAGGTGAGTTGATCTGTGCTGTTAAACAAGTCACTGTTAAAACTTTGTTGGCTCAGTTTGCAAATGTGAACATTCTACCATACACATCCATGCAGAACACCAGAAATACTATCTTTTACTGAGAATCTCTTCTTAACCCTATGTATATGACCTGGAGTCAGATTTTTTTTTAAGCACAGAGCAGTGGGCGGGGATAGGGGGTAGGTGGGAATAGATATTTTCGGCGGTGTAGACTCAAACTACAACTTTGAGTCAGCACCTGGTGAAGAAACACTGTTACATGACACGGTGGAGAGATAAAAAAAACATATCTCCTCTAAACTTTATCATCTGAAACTGAAAACGTCTGACGCAACTAGCAGTAAAACGCTGTACTTCCAGTAGTAATTAGTAGTTGTAATATAGGACGTCTCTCTTACAGAAAATATGAAGTTACTGCGTCTTTAAATGCTCCTTCCTGGATCTATACTCTCTCCTCTCTCTCCTCTCTTTCTCCTTCCCTCCTTCTCTCGGTTTCTGATCCTCGATTGTTTAATCCACGCCTCGCCGTTTACCGGATCTGCTCACGTGATCACGCCATCATGATCGCCACGGTAACAACAAGCTCCTGTGTCCGGGAAATGCTCCACTCCTCCTCCTCTCCAAGATCTGACAGCTCCTCTACCCCTCTGCTCCACCCTCCACCCGGACAGAGGAAGAGCAGCGGGAAGGGAGGGGGAGAGAGAGGAAAGGAAGGGAGGAGGAGGGAGACAGAGGGAGGAAGGGGGATAGAGAGAGGGAGGGAGAGGAACAGAAAGGGAGGAGGGATAGAGAGAGAGAGGGAGAGGAGGGAGGGGGGATTTCCCGGATCTCCTCGAGCCAGGGCGGCAAAGCGGAAGAGAGAGAGCTTCCCGGAAAAGGATGACGTAATGTGGGTCAGACGGAGAAAGAGAAACAGACAGAGAAAGAGCACGTGCAGAGAGGTAAACAAAGACTGAAACTGCAAGAAAAAGTCAAATTACTATGAATAATGTAATCGTGGAATGTCATGTTTTTACGTGTAAGTGAATCTACAAATACATCATTAAAATAGAGTTTTGGATTTACTCAAAACCTCAAATGATTCAATCTGTTTAAAGAGAATATGATGCAAAAGTTTTCAAATGAGCAGCTCCTTTTACTTTCACTTCAGTAGAGAGTAAGTCCAGGGCGGGATTTTTCTCCATGTTCTTTGGCTGCTCCCTTCTCCAACGCACTCGTCTCAAGTAACTGATGTGGAGTTTAAAAACACAGTGGAGCTCTTTCTTTATCACCACATGGCATCATAAGGTGTTTTCTGTTAGGAACTCAGCCTAAATCTGCAGGGTTTGTGATCAGGAAACTACTGCTCTTAATATCAGTCGTATTCTGGTATTAACACAATCTCCACATACATGTATTTGATGTACACACATACTGTATATACAAAATGTACACTGAGGGAGCGTCTGTTCCTCAAAATAATCTGACAATAAAATGAAAATAAAATGATTTCTTGACTTAAAAACATCGGCTCTGAGTCTCAGAACGTGACTAGTGTGATTAACCTCGTTCACAGCCTCACAGCTCTGACCTGATAATAGACCTGTCCCACTAACACTCTGGTTATTTATGTGCTCTATATGTGTGTGTGTGTGTGTGTGTGTGTGTGTGGACCCCAGAGGTGACGTCAGGGTGGGGGAGGGCCTCAGGACTAGACCAGGATCTGAACAAGGACTATGGGGGGGTGATGGGGGGTGGGTGATGGGGGGTGATGGTGTGGGTGATGGGGGTGGGGGTCGCTCATGGTTAGGCTTGTGATGATGTCATTCTCTGAGGAGCTTATCATAAATTTAGTTTTTTATTTCTTGACCTGGTTTGTGGTCCGTGTCTGTAGTACTGGGCTTATTCACATGAAACACAAACTGGCACAAAGTTCCTGCTCTTCCCTGTCACAGAACATTCTTTAAAAAACAGGGGGACATTATTGTTGGGTACATTGTTTAAGTGTTTTTTTTTATTTTGTTTTTATCTCTCTCACACACACGTGAACCCAAACAGAGAAATTGGTGGAAATGAGTGGGGCGACAGTAACTCAGCTGCACAGCAAAAACTGAAGGGTTAAAATGTCAGTGTTGGTTTTTTTTAGCACAAAATGTGTTATTTTAACTATCTGAAAGTTAAGTGGGGTTTTGAATTGGGGTTATTTGCCAGAGTTATATGGTTGAAGTTCAGTCAACTTCCCCTCGTGTTATTTCAACTTCCTTTAGTGTTGAACCACTTCAAACTCCCAGGAGAGACCAGTTTGAACCAGTTTGGTACATTATTTTATCTTAAAAACTCAAATAAAGTGTAAAAATAAAACACCTCTGTACACTGAAAAAAAAAAGGTTGCTGGATTTGCGTAAAAAAGTTATGGACAGCGGTTGCACGCAATAAAATTGAGGCTTTGAAACTTTTTCGAACCCCTCTACACATATTTTTCTCGGAACATGAACATCACTTTTTCATGTTGATGAAATTTGAACAAATCATGCTGAATATGCATATTTATCTTATGGTACCTTATCATGAAATGTATAAGTATGTATAATTTAATTTAATTGATCTAATTCTGTAAAAGAATACAAAAACAGTCTTTAGTTTTCTACAGATCTGTATTGTCTTAAACAGAATCAAACACAAAGAGAGCACAGGGACAGAGATACACAGTTTGGAGCTGGACAGTGTGAAGATTTATTCCAGTGAAGACGCTCTGGTCTCTGCCTGTGGACACACGAATAACACATGATGATCACATTCTGATGATCTACTCTGTTGTACATGTTTAAATACACTTATAGCAATTATTACTACAATAATGGACCAGAACAGAATCACAAGAACATTAGAAGTGTATCTGCAGAAACAAAACTCACCATGTGCTGCTTTTCTTCCTCTAAACACAGTAACAGGGAGGGCATCTGGTATAAAGTCTCCTAATGCCACATCACCTTGTACAAGTACGATAACAGTTTCAATAGGAAGTTCATTTTGAAAAAAATTAAAATAATTTTAGTTGGTTTACTTACTTTGTTCATCTGTGGTCTGTGTTTTGTTGGTTCTCAAACATCTTCCTTTTTTCTGAAACATCAACTATAACATTCATGAACTTCCCCACAGCTCCAGCAGAGCTCTGGACGTCACTCTTTGTAGACGACTCTGGAAGCAACACATTCAAATCTTAGTACAACTGTCACACTCTTGTAGATGGACAGTCAAAAACAATTTGTTTCAAGCTGTCCTTACATTAACTCTAATTTCAAATAAAACACCACAAACATGTTTTAACAATGACGACATTCTAGGCCGGAGAAGCACATAATAAAATCTTTGAAAAGTCTTACCTCCAGATCAGTTCTCATAATCCTCCTGCTCCACACTGTGTGTCCTCTGCTCATCTAACTGTCCTGTGTCCTGTTACATTTGAATTTTCCCTCCAAAAGTTTTGGGGAGGAGAATTCCAGAGGGAGGAGCCTCACCAGAAATTATAATAAAGTCATGTTTCCTCAACCTGATTAAAACATGCAGGTCTCACATCGGCCACAATCAAGCGATGTTTGTAAGATTTAAACATGCTGGACAGAGAAACGTAAAAAAGTGATGTTATTGTTGTCAAATTTGTTTTTGCAATTTGAGCAACCCCTCTCGGACCGTTTTTTCAGTGTATGTTATTTAATTACATCAGGATAACTCTACAAAGTGTTATCTATTCACTCTCAAAATGTTCATATAATTCTTGATTTTGGAGTTAAACAGGAACTTTGGTCCAGTGTTACTTAATGAACATTTCCAAAAATGTGAAATTATCTCTAGATCAGAGTGGACTCATATAAACCCTGAGAAAATGTTCACATTGATTCTGTGAGAGTCAATTTTAACACTCTCTTGGCTTTGGTGGAGGTTGGTGAAGCAGCATTTTCCAGCTCCCACGGATGGATGAGCATGATCCACATGATTCCAGTCGGATGTCTTCGTTGTGTCTTTGGGCAAGACACTTAACCCACCTCACCCCCAGTGTGTGTGTACACTGGTGTGTGAGTGTGTGTGTGTGAACATATGTGTTGTAAAGCACTTTGAGTCTTGAATTTGGAAAAGCATTTTATAAAAATGTGACCATTACATTTACATTTGGCAAATATCACACATTCACTCCTACAATTTTTATTTTCTATCATGTTTGTTCAAACTGAATCCCATAATATACATTTTTAAAAAGTCATTTATATAGTGCCCATTCACAGGTGAGGAATAATAAAGCAATAACATGTTTTGATTTGTCTGGAATGTTCCACAGTATGGCTTTGTTATCTGCAGACTCTCCTCTCCACAGATCTAACCAGTGGAGATTTCGCTTCATGTTTAAAGTCATATTGTGGATTATTTTAGTTTTGAACATTTAGATTCGATTTTCTTTCTGGCATTTTTGACTTTTCTCTGACATGGCTCCTGTGACAGAGGTGCAGTACGTGGTGATGTCATACTCATGATGAGAGGGCGGGGCTAAAGAGAGAGGAGGGCGGGGCTAAACATCAGCAGAATCACACAGAACACATTCACACTGTGATGGACATGTCTGCATCTCATTTCAGTCCTTTGATTCAAATTGAAAATAGTGTTTGTGTGTCCGGAGGTAGAATGTGGAGTCAGAGTTAAGTCTCATTCTGTGGTATTTTCCAAAAATTAAATCCACAAATGTTTTCTCTGAGTATTTCTAGAAGTGGCAAGGTCCAGTCTCCTGCTGTATGTGTCCAAGCAACACAACATGTGCAGATTAAGTCGAGACATGTGACCTGTCCACTATAGGGACACAGGAGGACGGGAGGGCATCTGACACACATGAACCACACAGAGAACTGTACATCACCTTTACCTTTACCCTGCGTGAGTCACACATCACACCTTTTCTCCTCCTTTCTCTAATCCCTCTCTTCCTCTCCCCTCTCCTCTTTCTCTTCTCCTTCCTCTTTTCCTCTCTTCCTCTCCTTCTTCCTCTCTCCTCTTCTCTTCCTCTCCTCCTTCTCTTCCTCTCTTCTCTCCTCTGTCTCTCCTCCTCCCTCTCTCCCACTCCGCTTTCTCTCCTCTTTCTTCTTTTCTCTCTTCCTCTCCTCCTTCTTTTCCCGTTCTTTCCTCCTTCCTCTCTTCCTCTTCCCTCCCCTCTTTCTCTCTCCTTCCTCTTTTTCCTCTCTTCCTCTCTCCTCTCTTCCTCTCTCTCTTTCTCTTCCTCTCCTCCTTCTCTTCCTCTCTCTCTCTCCTCTTCTTCCTCCTCCCTCTCTCCCACTCCTTTCTCTCTCCTTTCTCTTTTTCTCTTCCTCTCCTCCTTCTTCTTTTCCTCTCTTTTCCTCTCTTTCCTCTTTCCTCTTCCTCTCTTCCTCTCTTCCTCTTCTCCCTCTCATCTTCCTCTTCCTCTCTCTTTCTTCATCTTCTCCTCTCCTCTTTCTCTCCTCCTTATCTTCCTCTTTCCTTCCTCTTTCTCTCTCTCTCCTCTCTCCTCTCTTCTTCCCTCTCTCCAGTCCAGAGTATCCAGGAAACAGTGTAGTCAGTGCACTATCCTCTCTCTCTCTCTCTCTCTTCCTGTCTTCCTCCCTCTTCCCCTCCTCTCTCTCTCTCCTCCTCTTCCCTCTCTCCGTCTCCAGTTCAGAGCATCACTCCAGATCCAGGAAACAGCGTAGTCAGAGCAGCATCGCCTTGTTACCGTCACGAGCCGGATCATGTCTGCGGAGAAATGACACAAACGCTTTACCATCAAACACCTGATCGTTCCCGTAGCAACGCCTTCATTTACTGTACTGTGTCTGACTGAGTGTTAATAAAGTTACTGACATTTGAACAGTTTTACAGCCACATCAGAGCTGCTGCTGTCTGAGCCCGAGCAGAAACGGAATCACAGAAATCAAATCAAATAAATATCCCTCATCCTGTATCCAGTGGGAAGAAAATAAAATAAAAATAAAAATAAATAAAATAAATAAAAAAAAAAAAATAAATAAATAAAAAAAATAAAAATAAATCCCCCCATCCTCCATCCACTGGGAAGAAAATACAAAATAAAATTTTAAATAAAATAAAATTTAAATAAAATAAAAATTTAAATAAAATAAAATAAAACTTTGAATACTCTATGCCACTGGGCATAAAATAAAATTCAATAAAAATTAAATAAATACCCCCTATCCTCCAAGTACTACAAAATTAAAAATAAATAAATAAAGTAATTAATTTAAAAAATATATAAAATATATATCCCCAGCCTCCATACTCTCAAATCAAATAAAATAAAACTTTGAATATGAATTATGAATAGTTACGATTTTTCAGTTACATCAGTCGTTCCTGTTATGGACACCATATTGAGGACTTTTGACCAAACGTTACTTTTATTGTTTGGAATGTACAGACTCGTTAGTGTTGGTCTGAAAGAATTTCTGTTTCTAGTTTACACAAAATTTAATGAAATAAAATCAACATGGACGCCATTTTCAGGACTTTTGACCAATCATCAAATGTTACCTTTGAATTGTTATGAACGCACAAACTCATTACTATTACTACTGTTCAGCAAGTGTTCATAAAGTGACTGATATTTGAACAGGTTGAGTAGAAAAATCTAATCAAATTCATGGGTGGGTCGGTGCACAGTGTAAAGTTTCAGTCAGAGGTCTGCCACCTGCTTGCCTGTTTCTAATGAGATGTTATTGCTTTGAAAGTTCCACAGTATGGTATTAAACGATCTAATTAAACTGTATTATAACAAGCAAAGTTACAAGTCAGATCTGTGGCGAGGTGACTTTGCTCACTGTAAGAATAGAGGATTTTCATGGTGTTTATAATTGAACACATGTGAGACAAATAAAAGTTTAATGTCATGTGTAACCGAGGCTTCATTTAGAAGTTCCATGTATGTATGTTCAAATACTCAGGGCTAGTGCACGTAACAGAGGCTCAAAACTTCAAGAGATCGAGCACTCACCATGCTCCATGCAACACACACACACACAAACATAAATAAACGAGAAAACTAAAACACGCAAATAAGTGAAGGAAGTGCAAAAAAATACCACAGCACATGAGGAGCAATGGAGCAGAAGTGAAATACCCGACCACCAACCCTCCACAGACGGGCGCCCATGTCCAACCAACCCAAGAAAAACAAAAGTCAACACAAACCAAAAAGATACAATGACGAGATTAACAAAACAAATTAACATGAACTCAATATACAGACAAATTATACCAAAATAACCACACAAAGACCCAAATAAAACGGGTCATGACCTGCAGTGTCTATGAAACACAAACAAACATTAAAACCCCACAGAAACAAAGAAAGAAAAATATAGTCAAAAAGAACTTACCGTATTTTTCAGACTATAAGTCATGCTTTTTTCACGGTTTGGGTGTTTCCTGCAACTTATACTCCGGTGCGACTTATATATTAACATTTTTAGACAAACAGCTGCGAGAGGCTGTAGTATCTATTACTCCTGTACCACTGTCACTTCACTCTACTGCACATGTCTCCTGTAGAAAAAGATGTTGTTCTGCTACAAATACTGAAAACTGAAGCAGAAAACAGTAATCGAGCAGCAGAAAGAAAGTTTGGAATGAGTGAGAAACTTGTGAGGGACTGAGGAAAGCGAGGACACAGCTTCACGGTAACCAGGAGGATGCACCGTGAAACTTTCCTGAAGTCACTGGATGGATGGACAAAGCCTGAACTTCAGTGACACTGAAACCATCCTGCCAGGATTCAGAAAGGCCCGAATAATTCTAAATGGAACTGATTCTGAGTCTGACGACAGCGACACAGAAGAGGAAGTGACGCTCTGTTTACCTCTGGAGGACGAGGCCGAGTTGTTCAGAAGTGACACCGAGGATGAAGAATTGAATGGATTTAGTGATTTGGAGTGAGATGGAGAGTTTGGTAAACTTGTTCTGTTGTTTATGTTATAGTTTATCTGAAGAACTGTTCATATGTGACGTTAACAGTCTGTTGTTCTCTCTTCTATTGTTTTTACTAGAACTTGACTTTACACAGGAAATGTTGGTTCCTGGTCTTTGATTTTATAAAATACATTTCCCCAAAAAGTGCAACTTATAGTCTGGAAAATACAATAAATTACCTAAAGAGTGCGTCAGCTACAGCATCGGAAAAAAAAAAAAAAAAAATGCAACAGGGACCCAATTAACCCACAAGATAAAAACATTGTTAGTATCAGAGGCACTCCCAGCAGACCTACAGAGTAATGCAGAGGAAACGGGGAAAACAGTGAGCAGATAATCTGGGGTAAGAGGGCAACTTACCTCTAGCTTCAGCTACAAGGCTTAAATGCCAGCGGCAACATGGAAGCATATGGCACCGGATGTACACAGGCAAATCTCCAATTAGCCATGCAGGTAGAGCAGGAAAGTTACACAGTACACCTTTAAGTTTCAAAGCATGGGTAAAACCAAGTTTTACCCATGCTTTGCTGCTACTGCTAAAAATCCTAGACTCAAGTTCTGAGTTCTGTTCATGAGTTTGAAGATTCATTCATTTCACCTTTGACCTCTGCTGAATCAGTAGCTCCCTTTTCCACCTTCCTCTTCTCTCCTTTCTCTTCTCTCCACTCTCTCTGTCCTCCCTCACTCTCTTTCCTCTGAATCAGTTGCTTTTTGACCGGTGATTGACAGATGCCTGGCGGCCGCTGGCTTGGACACACCTCTGTGCTCCGCTCTGACGTTCTGTCTTTGTGTGTACAGTCTCGGAGCAGAAGTGAGTGTGACATGTGTGTGGGTTTGATTCACGCACATTCTGGTTCACACACGTTCTGGTTCAT